AGCTCCCTGGAATGAATGTTGCCTTATGAGCAACATTTGCAGAGTAAAAAGCAAAGCAGAGGCTGTTATGAGACCTGAGAACTATTCAGAACTGTGCCTCTGCTGAAAGAAGGAAAAAGGTAAAAAAATGCTATTAGGTGATTTTAAGATCCTGAGTTCTCAGATTGAAGACCTGTTTCTCTAAAAACCCACATATTAACTCCCCAAGGACCACAGTATTAATATATTTCAACATCGCTGGGTGAAGAAGAAAAATGTGAGAAGCCTTCAACTCCCCACTTCTGTTTTACATGCTGGACTTCCCTGCCCTTGGAAGGTAGATGGGAGTTGGCATCCACTCTCTGGAGGAAATTCAGTCACATCTTGGCCTTCCTGATTGGCAGGACAACTTCAGCAGCCCACTGGCTGACACTCAGACCAGAGCGGATCTTCCTGGAGATGGAGCTGGGAATTACCTTGATTCCATAGTAGGCTTGGAAAAAATGCAGTTTAGTGTCAGTATGAAAGCTTACTGGGAGACACAGCTTGGACTAACCAAAGCGGTTACTTGATTCCTCAACAGAATTCCTCACCTTAAATATTTAGTAATGGAATTCCTAACCACCTCTCAGGGGAAATGGCTTGCTTTCACTTGACTTTTTCAGACCTCTAGCATTCATCTGCTACAAAATCAAATGCATGGCTCTGAAGTCAGGCACAACTAGATCAGACAACTTTGCCCTGCCAGAACTTATTTTCTCCCTAGAAAATAGAGGGCTACTACTTTCACTTTTTAGATAATAACCCCTTTTAGTTATAATAGCAATGCATGTTTGTTAAAGACCATTTGGACAATATGAAAAGCAGGAACAAACACCTACACCCCAAATCCTCCATTTCTCCCCCTGAAGGCAACCACTGTTTTTTGATCGCCTTTGATTGCATTTTTTCCTCCTTACAGATTAAGTCTAACACATATACAAAACCTATTTTACACTTAACATTATATTCTTAATATTTTGTGTAAATTCTTCAAAAACAATTTTTTATTTAAAAATATTTCTTCTAAGAATATAAGCATTTTCTCTATAGAAAATTTGGAAAATACTGAAGAGCAAAAGAATGCTCCCCCTATTCCCACACCTACTGGACAGATATCAGTAACCTTTCAGAAGATATCTTCCCAATATATATATATATATTTTTATTATACAGCTGACCCTTGAACCACCTGGGAGCTGGGATGATGAAACCCTCCATGGTCAAAAATCTGTATGTAACTTCGACTCCCCAAACTTAATGACCTACTGTTGACCAGCTTTATTTATGAACAGATAACACATATTTTGTATATCCTATGTATTACATATTGTATGTTATACACTATTCTTACAATAAAGCTAGAGAAAAATGTTTTTTCAAGTTGTTGCAAACCTCCCAAGTTTTCCAATGTATTTATTGAAAAACATTCACAAGTGGACCTACACAGTTCAAACCCATGGTGTTCAACTGTATGTGCATTTTCTTAAAAAGGAATTGGATTCAAAGCATATATATTTCATACTTTTCCCTAATATATCATAAATACTTGCCTTGATTAAATATTCTGCCTAATTGTCCATGATACATGGATTATCATTTATTTAGCCATTGTGATGTTGGGCATTCAGGTTATTCCTAATTTTTCTATTATAAACAATGCTGTGGTGATAAGTTATCATTACTTTTGACTCTTTCCTTAGATTTCTAAAGCCAAATTAGTCAGTTAAAGGCTATGAATATTTCTGAAGCTCTTCACATTGCCAAAGCATTTTATAGAAATTTAGGAATTTACCCCA